ATTCTTTGTAAAAAGCTTGGTGGCTTTCCTCTCCCCCAATCTATTGGTTAGGATAGGTTCTACTGCTATATTACTATTTCATCCTATTTGTTTGTTGTTTACCCTTCGCTTTCATCTCAGCTTGTATTTTTAATATTCCCCATCAATCCCTTCAACCCTTGCAAGAGAATTATCAATCTTTATAAGCCGTCCTTACATGCCTCAACACCTCTTAACATCTCCATTTCCTTATTTCTACCACCGCACCCCATCCGAAGCTCTACACGTCAACCCTTGAGCTCCAATCTACTTAGATCTCCACACAAACTAACCAAATCCACTTGAAACTTGGCCACTATTGAAAATCAACATTCCCCAAATATCCTTCACTCCAAAACACACCCAATACTTTATACTCCCTTGCGGCAAAAAAAACACCACTCACTGATCCTTCCGCTTCCAAGTCCACTCCCTCTTCTGCATCAATTGGTATCAAAGCTAATATGAACAAGTGTAAGAAGTCGCATCAACAAGGCTATGCCCAATTACTATCATCCTGATAATACTGGTAAAGTTCTCGCTTGTTTTTTTTTTATAATTGATGGTTATTCATAAGTACATACATAACCTTCGACTTTTTTTTATTTGTTATACACATCAAGTGATCTGATAGGTACTTTAATTTCAACGTGAACAATTTAAAATTCATGTCCCATCTTAAGCCTAAAGAAGACTTGAACAGATGAGGAATAACCTATCAAGGAAAGTGCTCTATATTCCAACTCCACCGAAAACCATCTCAGAAATCATATCAAAAACTATATAAAAAATCATATTAGAAGAAACATCTAATATTCATATCATTAAAAATTTCTTCGCCATCCCTACTCCATATATAGATTCTTCTGACTCTTCTGCATACACAATTTTCCAACAAGCTGTAGATGTTCTAAATAATCTTCCCATAATAATAAATATTTGCAAAGAATTTCATGATAATTATCCTGCAAGAGAAAATATTATTTTTTTGCAGGGTAAAGATATCTTACCTCAAGAAAAACATGCACAAGACTCGACTCTTCAAATAAGAGTTGATTTTAAGAGGGGGAGAGTTGATATAGCCGAGAATGTAATAAAAATTAAAAGGAAATACTAGATTGAATGGTTGGTCTCCTTATCTTCAACTTAAATTAATATATAAGGCTCAACATAATTATATTACTTTTATTTCATGTTGTTATTTTATTTTCAATGAATTGTAATTAAAAAGTAATACGGGTGTATTATTGATGTAAATGTGTACATGCAAACTAGTTCATTTTAAGTCTTCTCATATTAGCTCACTGCAAATCAACAAAGCATTCCAAGAAGTTGTCAGAATCGGCCATGAGAAGTCCAAAAAGCCATTCTCCGCATTCAAATGATTAGGGTTTATGCACTGAATTAGATTAAGGTACTACATTTCCAAAAAGTACATGTCTAAAGAAGATTTCAGCCAAAAGAGAACAAGAGTTGAGTTCTGTGAATTCGAACAACTTTTTCAAGCTTTTTTTTTTTTGAAGAAAACCATAGCCCCATCCATGGATTCTCCATATTGAAGATTCAGAATGAAGAATTCAGCCCACTCCAAGGTTCACGCATGAAGGAACATTGAGCCACTTATTTCTTAAATTCTCCCTACCTCTAGGGATTAAATATTTGAAATAAAAATTGGAGAGTAGTCATCTTCAAAAAAAAAAAATAAAAATAAAAAATAAAATAAAAAACTTGGTGACTATTTCCTTGAGATTAGCTTGGTGACTGTACTCTCTCTTCCTTTGTAGAGGTTGGTTTATCTTTTATTATATGACTATCCTACCTTCTTTGTTTATTCTTTTCCATTCATTTTCATCTCCGCTTGTGTTGTAGAGTTTTCTCATTCAAAGCCTTCAATCACCGTAAAAGAATTATCATTTTGTGTGAGCCCTCTTAAAACAATGCAGAATCTATCCTCCTGATGTTCTGAACCATTTACACAAAACAACATCCCTTGGCATTCATTTCTTCCTTTCCACTGCCTCACCACATACTAAGCTCATAGTTGAGCCCTCACCGTATATTAAGCCTCACACAGCAACCCTAAACTACACTCTAATAGACCTTCACACAAGCTATAGCCTAATTGCACTTGAGCCTTCTTACTACAAATCAAAAGTTAACTTATTAACTATCATGCACCCATACCACCCTATCAAAAACATTTTTCTCTACTACTTCCAATTTCCCGCTTCAAAAGCCTAATCACTTGTCTCTGTTGATTCTTGGATTCTATCTCACTAATTTGTATGCAGAGCTTGCAACTATATATGAACTATATATGAAAGTATCTTCTATAGGCTCTGTAAGACATGCTTTGAAGGTTTCCCTGAAATAACATCTATACTTAAGATTTCTTATGCAAATGAAGAAACAGGGCATATACTTGCCGTTAAGAGTTGTTAGAGTGTACATAAGAAAAAAGAGTATCTCTTGATTTTGAATTCTCTAAAGAATTCTTCAAAAATGGAGAATTACGATATTAGCGAGTAAAATTTGTTAAGTTCCTAGCTACCTTCTTGGTAAATGATATATTGGTGTGAGGCAATTATCAAATATTTTAGTGTTTTGGTGGGCTTCTTCTTTGTTGAGTGTGGGTGAATTTAGATTTGGGAAGTAATAGTGAGTGCTCCTTTCATTGTGTACACCACATATATCTCTATTGTGTTTCCAGTTGATCAAATATTTCGCCTCTTCCGCGAACACCATCTTATTTGACAATAAACCACGGAATCTCATTGTCTTGATTCTTTTTCTTCTCATCCTATTTTGTGCTTACTTTGTGTTACGTTGTGCATCATTCATGTTAATGCTTGTGCTATAAGTTAGATGCTTTCATTCCAACAAATTAGTATCATAGTGGGACTATTAGATATGATGAGGACAAAACTTGAGACCAATAAAAGTGGTGGCAATAGGCTTCATAGAACATATATATTTTTTATGATCAATTTTTTGTTTGGATAAAGTCTTCGAAGAAACAAACAAGGAATAATTATGATTCATATTGGAGCGTCTCATTTCAAGGAACCAAAAAAGGTTGACCTTGTGGATGCAAAAAAAAATTTAGGGGTAAATCAAGCACGAGATATAGGAAAAACTTTAGGAAAAATCTGGAAGAGTAGGTTTTCAGTGAAAAATCTATCGCAATGTCCAGTTGTATCACTGCAGCAATCAGGGTGAGTGGATAGCCACTATAGAGAAACAAATCTATGGTGACGAGCATTCTTATAATATTTAAAGATAGATCTTTATGTGCAATAAATGTGCTTTAAAGATCCATTTCAAGCTTTAAGAGCTGAAAATGCTTAGCTTGGAGGCTGGAAGATATCAGATAGGAGATCAAAATTTTGGAACAATATTATATAAAGGGAAATAAATATTATATTTGGTGTAATATAGTAAAAAGGGATGCCCAAAATATTCCCTTCATAATTAAAGAGAAATTGGACAGCTAGGATTTTATATCAAAATACTAAAAAAAAAAAAGGATGTGCACCAAAGAATATATGCAATCTTGGGTTTGAATACATGTTTACAATCTGTGATGCAAAGTAACTCTCACCTCAGATTTGCCCAAAAAGAGTAAAATGATGTGAAATGTCGTGCAATCTTGCAAGGTTCTTTGGTAACTTCTACTAAATTTGTGTGTAAAGATTGCAGATACATATATATGTATCTTCAGTAGGGATTCTAATTCATGCTCTGGAGACTTCAGAGATAAAACCTCATGGCTTAGAGTTTTAATTGTGATTGAAGAAGCAAAGCATAACCCCATGATTAAAGTTCATAGAAGTGCACGCGACGATAAGAATTCACAATATTAGATCAATTTCAATTTGGTATAAACTTTCAGCATTGACAAGCAACACAAACTAAGGCTCTCAGCGGTTTCACCTTGGTGATCAATATATTGGTGAGAGGTAATCATGTTGGAATTTAAAAATTTCATTGAGATTCTCCATTGTTCAGTATGGGTGAACCTGAGGTTTGAGAATGATCTGGAGTGCATTACTTTTATTTTGTGAATCACATTTGTAGCCTTTTTATTTCTAATGGATCAGATCTCTCTCCTTTCTCGTGGATTTAATCTTAATTGAAGCAAAACTACATCAATCTTGGAGCATGATTTGTCTGTTCTCTTTCTCCTTAGGGCTTTCATTTTAGTGCATCATATCTTGATCCTACTGTCTGCTTTGAGTTTCGTTATCTTGTTCCTATAGGACTGGGGTTTGATAAGGAATACAAATCTTTGTTTCATATGCATACTTAAATCAACCACGTTTCTATTACTGTTCTTAATCGCTCACAATGAAAAATTTTAAACATGCGGATTTCAGACTAGTGCAGATCTCAGCTCTATAATTCTGATCAAATTGATAACTCCAGAATACAAAACATGACCGAGCATCAACCATGGCTGAATTAAGGACGCCAATAAAAAAAAGAAAAACCTGAGAGAGTAACGCAAAATTGAAAGAATAAATGAGATTAAATTAATTTCAACTAAAATCTTCCCAGCGGCGTTCATATATCATGAGCATACTTAAAACCCCCTGCTAATACTCTTCAACTTCGAAACAAAAACCTTAGAAACAACCATAAAAACAACGATTAGAAATAATAACCGTTTTTTACCAAAACTATCAAACTTCGACAACTAACCTTCAACCTCAGCACAAAAACCATGGAAACACCTACATGCCTCCAAATATAGAAACCCAAAATCCATCCACTCTATGGTATATTAAAATCCTCCTCAACACAGAACATCTCAAAGTCCTAACCAGATTTCACCACATATCAAGAAACACCACAAATCATTAGGAACTCGTTTCTAGGTGGCCAGATTTAACACTTTTAAATCCTATGGATTGCTAAATCTAGGATTTATCAAATCCGGTAGTCCGGCGAATTTGGAAATTTAGCGAAAGAAGAAGGAATACCTGTAGATGCCTTCGCCCCGCAAACGCACGTCGCCAACTCCTTTATCCTCGAGGGTTTCGTAGGAGCTAAAGTGGTATTAAGACTTGGGTTTCGGAGAGCTGCGATCCCGTCGATGGCTATCTAGCAACCTCCCCTGGTCTTTGTCGGCGAGGGTTTCGGGAATTTGCAGGACGGCATGAGAGGAAAGACGATCGTATTCGTATATAAAAGGATAAATTAATTAAAATTAACTATACAAATTTACAATTTAAAATTTATTTAACTAATTAAAATCAATATGAATTCATCAATACATAGAAGTTAACAAATTTAAGTTTTTTTTATATTAAAAATGGTTAATTTAATAATTATTTAATAAGATATTTATTAAAATTTATTGATTACTGAGATATGATTATTTCAAACATTTATCAAAATTATTTATAGTATAATAAATAAAATTTAAATTGTTAAAAAAATGTGGTTAATTAAATTATAAGAATATATCAAATAAATTGGATATAGAAATGATATTAATTAATAACTGATATGTCATGAATGAATTTCAAACAACTGACACAAATCTCATAGCATGTTATTGATCTTAATGCATCTTGTTGAGCAAGAAATGTTTAAACTATAATAAAAAATTATCATGAAGTTTGATTTCAACAAACTTACGGTCAAGCTGACTGACTCAACAAGATAGACTCGATGATACCAAAATTAGTCCAATTGAGTCAATCAAGCCCCGATGAAGATGTTAAATCATGTTCGGAAGTTTTTCAAACACATTTTTAAGGTCAAATGAATGTTTAATCTGGTGAACTTATAGGCAATTCGGGTACCTAGATAAGACAAATCCAACGAACGCAAAATTGCTCAATTCTGACATCATTAAGCACTCGAATGTTCATCAAATGTTATCTGATCAAAAGAAACTCTTTGACCGAAAATTAGTTGCACTAGTAACTCTATAAATAGAACAATTCCCCTCTCTTGAAAGAGGGAAACTTGAAATCTTATGAGAGAGCTTAAGATCTGGGGAAGAGCTTGAAACTTTGAGGATGAGTTGAAATACAACATTTATTCTGTTGTCGTGATCACCACCAACCGCTACCGATCACTATCAATCGCTGCTCATTTATTGTGACAAGTTCCTCTGCGCATTAACATTGTAACTCAAGAGACTTTGTAATCATTTTCTGATAATGAGACGAGATGTTGTACTTTCAGTTTATAATGAATCTATTGAATTAGGTCAAGTCCCGTAGTTTTTTTTCTGCGGATTTTCCACATAAAAACTTCTGGTATCACTACTGTTTGTTTTATTTTTTCTAAATGTGTACTGAATTTTCATGCAAATGCTAAGATGATAATTTATTACTCCATCGTCGTGAATCTTTCTACCACACATCAATGAATAATTATCATGTTTTATTGTAGTTAATACAAATCAAACAAAAAAAAGTTCAATCAAACTGATATTACCTCACACAATTTGACTAAATAGAATTTTGTATTTATTTGAGCAAGTTATTGCTTGATTGAGGTTTCATCTCATTCTAGTCGTTGAATAGTAAAGTACTAATTAATGATTAATTAGCTTAATAATATTTTAACAAATGAATTTGAGTTCATAGGCTAATCACATGTTATAAGTGAAATATGAGCTCAAAAATGATTTTGTATTATTATTATTTTAGTTGAAAATTTAGGCGCACAATAAAATAATATTTTTCATTCACATAACACCGAATCAGACTGATGATATTTTTAGATTCTGTGATCTTTTATAATAATATTCAAATATTATTTTGATGATTCCTAAGCGTTGCCAAATATTTTAAACATGAAAATATTTAAAAGCCATGTTATGTATATTTTAAAATAAAAGATTCCTTATTGACCCTTTTAACAACATATACTTTTATTTAATAGATAACTTCTTTTGAGGGGAAAATATTTACGTGTGTAAGACGCAATGCGTACGTCGGGAGGATATATGGGGTTATATCTGCGTTATATCCTCTACAAATAACCCACCTATAACCTACAAATATGTTCTTAGCTTCTGTAGTTTCAATAGTTACATGTCAGTTACAGAGATGTTACAAGAGGGTATAATGCGGATATAATCTCCTGTACCCTCTGAATAACATTTAAAATACGCAGCGCTGCGTACGTCTTACGTACGCAAATATTTTCCATTTTGAATAGCTCATTTATAAATTTCTTTTTTTTTCTCAAAAAAGAGCTCAAAGCACGCAATCGAAGTGTTAAGACATTTTGATTAATGCTAAACTTCTTTTTTTTTTTTAATATTTGAGTTTAATTAATAGGCATATTTTTTTTTTAGTTTATTCAAATCATGATAGTTGAGTAGTCTTAGATTATTTATGGGATATAGTGAAATATGTTAGTTCAGACATAGCAAGCTAAGTAGATGTAACCTAGCTCAAGGTATTATCAAGTACTAGTTCACAATGACTATTGTTGTTTGTTTAAAGTGAAGAAGCATTGGCTTGAACTTTTTCGTTGCTGAATTTAGATATGAGTTAGACTATGAACACAATGTGGCTGAGAAGAAATTGATGATACGAAAAAAAAAGAAAGCTTGTTTATGTACTTGTGCTAAAAATTTTGTGGCGGTAGATTAATGAATTATTGTCTCAGCATTATGTGAGAATTCAGAACACACTCATGTCAAAAAAAAAATAGTAATGATACCAGAAGTTTTTGTGTAGAAAACCTGTAAAGAAAAAAAAAAACATGGGGTTTGGTTTGATAGTAAGAATCCAATATAGGTTGATGATTACAGAGACCACTTGTCCCATAGACGGAAATGATTACTAGGTTTTCAAAGTTATAATGTCGACTGACAACATGGATCAGTGGTGGTCGGTGGTGATTGGTGGTGATCGATGACGGTCAGCGGTGGTAGACGACAATAGTAGTGTTCGATGACATTCAATAGTTGTTGGCAGCGGTCAGCAGAGGTCGACGGTGGTTGACGGTGATCAACGGAGATCGATGGTGGTTGGCAATGGATACGGTAATCGACGGGCGTCGAAGACGATCGAATGTGGCCGACGAAAGTTAGTAGTGGTCGACAGCGATCGACGATGGTTGACAATGCCAGAGGTGGTTGTAAACTTTAATTCCTTCTCAAAACTTGAGTTTTCTCTCACGTCTCAAGCTTCGCCTCTCATGAGAGGAGTTGGACTCTATTTATAGTTTTCTGAGTGTAATTAATGCAAAAAATATGAGCTACTTTGATTGGATGGTCCTTAGAGTTTCATTTGATCGAATGACGTTTGATAAATATTTGAGTGCCTTAACAATGCCGGAATTCAACAATCTTCACCTCGTTGCATTCGTCTTATCGAGCCACTCGATTCAACTGTAGGTTTGCTCTGAAAAACTTTCGAGAGTGGTTTAAAGACTTGATTTGACTCGGATTGGACTAATTTTTGTAACATTGGGTTGTTCTTGCCGAGTCTATCAATTAGACAATAAGTTAGTAACAATGATTACCACACGACACTGGTCAACTTTTTATCATTATGATTTTATTTTTTTATATAAAAATATCTAAAAAAATTATTAAAACTGTTAATTCCTGTTCTTAAAAAAAAATATTACTTCTTGCTTCAGTTCTGACAGTTTATCGGTTGGCCACTGCCAATTACGATAAGACAATAAATAGTTTAAATATTGAATAATGTTGAAATTGGGGGTGTAGCTCATATGGTAGAGCGCTCGCTTCGCATGCGAGAGGCACGGGGTTCGATTCCCCGCACCTCCAATTCATTAGTATTATTTTTTCGCCTAATAAAATAAAAGGACGTTGCAGTTTCTTGAATTTTTAGCTTTATAAAAGAAGGAATATTAAAACACTGAATTATTATTATTTTTACCGAGTTGACCAAGATGGTTATATTTCGTTTTTTTTTTTCATTTTTTTTCATTTTTTTTCAAAAAAATACAGTGAGAATCTCCATTTTGCAATTTGAGATGGCTAAATGCCGTGCTGCAAAAATCTAATCTTTCTAAAAAATTATAATAACCACCATAACTAGGGCTGTCAAAACGGCTTGTT